AAACGGTTTCAGTGTTGTCTGGAGCTATTATAAGAGCATTCACTGATGAACCAAAGTCATTATACAGGAATACAAATAAGTCTGAAAATGTAATGTTTATGGCAAATTCTTGAAGGTTGTACAAAGCATCATGCAATAATCTTATTTTATTAAGCTGTTGTTTCAACCAATTACAAACCGTCTCTGTGTTACATAAAATTTTTTAAATAAATATTTATGATATATATTGAACTTTTACGCATTTGACATATTGAATATGTTAATTGATATTAACACTATTGATTTTTATTTAGTCAAAATAATAAATATACCTCATGTAATCGATAAACCTTCAATGTTGATTTAGAATTGGGTTTGTAAATTTACAGACTTTTTGATTTACCGGTAATTTGGCAAAAAAAAAAAGTAATACCGTTAAATCGGTAAATTACCAATAAACTTTATATATCAATAAAACAAAACCATTTTTATTAAATATCATTTTTCAAAAAGTAGTGTAGAAAGCTTAAACTATCCAATGTCTTGTCTCCTAATCGAGATCTAATTTTAGTACAAATTAGTCCAGCTCCTGAAAATACTCTTTTAGGTTCAACACTTAATGGACAAATGGTCATCAAATAGTCAAAAACTATTTGAATGTACTTCCCTCATATATATTTCTTGTCAAAAGTACTCTTTTTTTATAACTTCTTTTAGACCTTTTGTGTTACTTCCTTCTAAAACAGTTATTCCTTTGCTCTTGCCCGTTTGTTTTTTAAGAAAAGGATGAAATCTTTCCTTTATAGAAAAATCAGCATTTCGTTTAGTAAAAAAGTAAAAAAGATTTACTTTGAAAACTTTTAAATCTTTGCCGATGCTTTTCTAATTGAAACCATCACAGAAAAAGAGAAGACTTACGTTATTAAAATCAAATGTAAGTTATATGATCTTTATCAAAATAAAATATTATCCAAAACCAATGGTGCGGTATGGGCAGCTGCCCTATGGTTTATAAATGATACAAGTCATATTAAAATATTTTAACATGTTGGTATATTTTATTTAACTTGGTATATAAATAAAAATATTGTTCAATAAATAAGTTAAATTTGTTCTTAACAAAGATTACCTCATATTTATTTTTTTTATTTTATTATTCTAAACTAAAGTGCTTACAAAAATAAAAAAGAATTTTGTAATTATACATAGAATGAAAATACTTTTGCGTTTGTTTATAAGTTAAGGAACTTAATTTTTAATTAACAAATTTTAACGAACGTTTATTATAAACAGATACGATTCAAATTATTAAATATACTTTTTTGTTTTATTTGAGCATTTTTTTAAGTTTGCACGAAGTGTTAAAAAAGTTTTTAAGTATTAAATTTTTTTTTTGTTTTAAAAATAGTTAATGTATGAGTTTGCATAATCAAGACTTTTACATTCAATTTAATTTTTTTTTAATTTCATAAAATTCAAAAAAAATTTATTCGTTAAAAACAATTTTTCTCTATAGCTCTGTGTTTCTTTGTGATTTGTTTACAATGTAAAACATTTTTACGATAACGTAAAACATTTATGAATTAAATACTTGGCCAACACGTTCTAAATTAAGTATCAAAAATATGCTTAAAGCAGACACAAATTAAGTATCAAAAATATGCTTAAAGCAGACACAATACTTTTTTATATTATATATTGCAAGTTAAAACGCTAAGCAATATAAATTTAAAAAATACTTAAAAACCTAAATTATTCTTTGCTAGTCAAAAAAAATTGCTGTTTAAATAATTAACAAGGGTTTTTGTTTATCATTAAGTTAATTTTTTTTGTTTACTCCCAAAATGTTTAAAAATAAAAAATCATTATAACGATTTAAAAACAATAATTATTAAAAAACAAATTTCAGAAATAATTAAAATATATATAACCCTCAGAATTAGTGTCGGTATTTGGCAATGCCAACCTAACTGTCAACCTGAAAGTGTTTTAGGCCGGCAAAAAATTGCCGACCTGGTTTTTATGTTTTATAGTCACACCTTTGTATCAAATAATTTTTGCCGATCTGATGCCAACCTCTAGAAGATTGAGGTTAGCAAATTATTGCCGACCGCATTTTTCCTGATTCCAAGGGTTGTATATATATATAATTTTTTTTACAAAATAGTATTGAACTAAAATTAATATTAGAATAACAATTGAAAACGTAACTAACTTTTCATAATATACTTTACATTTTATTTACATTTAAAACAATTATTGTTATTTACATTTTTACAATATTTACATTTAACTTTACCGTTCTCTTGTTAACGGCAGCTCCGTGTGATGTTATGCACACAATATTTGACAAAGCTATATTAAACTCTTTAAGCTTTTTTTCAATTAGTTCAGCGCATACCTCAACAGGTGCGGATCCATGAATCCAAGTCAATGCAATATTCCAAAAATTACCGTCATTTCCATGAATAATAATATTTATATACCAGCAATCATTCTTGAAAGTACAGCTTCAGGAGATTCGTCTCTATTTTTGATAAAAGAAGTAATTTTCGATGCAATTGTAACTGCTAGTTCATTTGCGCGCTTTTCTACAGGGGTGGGACCGCAAAATGTGAACACTTTTCTGATAATAATTTTCTGTTAAATATGAACTATTTTAAATGTTCAATTTGACCTCCTAGATTCTCGTAGATCATTTTACAACGTTTAGACCAACTCTTTAGACACTTTCTGATGAGTGAGAGAGTACAACTACATCTAACGAGAAAATAGTTATAATAAAACAAAAACGTTCACATTTTGCGGTCCCACCCCTGTATATTTCTTTACACATTAATTTTATGATGACTCTTTTGATGGGCAAGTAATTCCAAATTGAACTTTTATCCATTAAAAGGTCTTTAAAACAATTTTTAAAGCGAAATTAACAAAAATAATTTTCTTTAGTGATAAAAAATTTGCAAAACAACCCAACATCTATTTCAAACATTGTTTAATTAGAGTCGTTAAATTTATTCAAGCGTTAAGTTCAAACAAAAGAATGCTTTACACTTTTATATTCTTAATTTTAATATATTGATAAGAAAATGAATAATTTATTTAATATTTATAGTACGTTCTATATTAGATAAAAATATTCAGCAATTAGGAATTAAAACAATCCTTACATAGCAAAAGGCTTGATTTACCGGTAAATTACAAAAATTTACCGGTAAAAAATGTGAACCAAATTTAGGTATTTACCGGTAAATCGATAACTGGTATTACAATCTCTAATTCAGAAGACATTTCAATAGTATAAAGAACATAAGATTTTGTATATATATAGTTATGCTGAGTTTGTTTTTTGCATTACTACAAGGAAAATCAACACCTTTAGAATCATCTACAGTGTGAGATCACAACATTAATTTATTTTCTTATATGCCCTTGTATAAACAGTTTGAACAATTAATTACTAACTTTTTTGGACACCTTATACAGGAAATTATGTCTGATTTACTGAACCATTACAATCTTTGTAATTTTTATATCCTCTATTTTTATATTCAAATTTAAAGATTCAGACACATATAAATAGTTATTTTAATTTTTATTCTAAAATTAAATATGGATGAAAATGCAGTGCTTCTATTTAAAAGTATATAAAAATATTACTTTTATTATTACATTTATGTGCGGATTAAGTACGAAAATTTCCACACTTTAGGCATTAAAACTTTTAAAATTCCACATTTTACCTGAGCCCAGTACAAAACTATATCTCTTAAGACAAGTTTTTTTAAAAAAAATATTTTGTGTGTGCGTTTGTGTGCCTGTTCACTTCTAATTAAACCTTTTGAAGAAATATCTCAAAATAACTAACAAAAGAATAAAACTTAAAAGTTACAATAATTAAAAAGTAAATAATACTAATACTCTTTGCTACTTTATATAAATAGTATGTTAATTTATCATATCAATAAAAAATATGTTTATATATCATATGGATAAAAAATATGTTAATATATTATATCAATAAACAATATGTTAATATATATATAATATTGATAAAAAATATGTTAATATATTGCATTGATAAATATGATAATATATTATATCAATAAAAAATATGTTAATATATCATATTGATAAAATATGTTAAAATATCATATTAATAAAAAATGTTAATATATCATATCAATAAATAATATGTTAATATATCATATCAATAAATAATATGTTAATATATCATATCAATAAAAACTATAAATATATTAGAGTGGATCAAAAAACTTTTTTTTTCTGACATGATTAAAAAGATGCTCTTTGATGTTGCTACATTAAGGAGCATTTATTTTTCTAAAAAGTGCAAACTTTTTAGATAAAATAAATAAAAAAGATTTTATGAATGAATAAAAAAGATTTTATTTCTCTAACTTTTATTTGGAAACCTGGATATTACCATAAAGAAAAAGATTTTCAAAGGAAGCATGACTATTCATAAAAAATATAAATTAACAAAAAAAAAAAATCTTTAAATTTAGATTTAATTCCTTTCATGAGCAAAAATAACAAATATAAATTACTTTGAAATTCTTTAACAATTGATTTATTTTAGATCCATTTTTTACAAAAATAAATCTTTTTCTGAACTTTTTTGGTAATGTTAGGGTCCCAGTAATTTTTCTATGTATTCTACCCCAAACGTTTGGGGAGGAATACATAGTTAAATCTATGAAAGTTTATACTTTCTTAAATCAGTACGTGAAGAAAAAACTTTTTGCATATTTTACAGACTCTTAACTTTAAAAAAAATAAAAAATTTATACATAATACACACACACACACACACACACACACACACACACACACACACACACACACACACACACACACACACACACACAAACCCATGTAAATTACCTCAAATTTCTCTGAAAACATATTATTAGCTTCTTCAGCAAACATATCCATACCCATTGTTTTATCTTCGTCAGAGCTTTCATTGTTATCATTAGTCGCATCTTCTGGTTTACTAACTAATCTTTCTGCTATTTCATTTTTAGCTTTTTTAGGATCAGGTACTTCATCAGAATTAATTTCTTTATTTCTTTTTATATTAATTTCATGTTTATTTTCTGAATTATATTTGCTTGTTTTGTCAGGGTTTTCTGAACTATATTTATTTGTTTTGTCCGAATTTTCAGAAGTATATTTGTTTGTTTTATATTCAGAATTTTTTTTTCCTGGTTCTAATTTATTTTTTTGTTCCGAGACTTTTTCTTGTTCACGTTTTTTCTCTCTGAGTCTTAATCTTTCTCTTAATTCTTTTTCTCGATCTTTGAGCTTTTCAATCTCTCTTTTTCTAACTCTATTATCTTCTTTAATTTTTTCTTTTTGCAATTGTTTATCTAATTCTTTTATTTTCCCCTTTAATTTTTCACGATCTTTACTATTTTTACTTAATGTTTTGTACTTTTCACTCAATTTTATTCTTTCCTTTTGCAAATGTTGCATAAGTTTTTTATGTTTACGTTTTTCAAACTTTTCTTTTTCAATTTCTTGCTTTCTTTTCAAAACGTGAGACTTTTGCTGCTCTTTTTCACTTTTAGAATCGGAAGAAGATGAATCAGAGTCAGAGTTGTTACTTGAGGCGCTTGAATCACTATCACTATTATCGGTTAATTCTTTTTTAATTACATCAATTGTAGGTGATGGTATTTTTATAGGTTCCTTAACTGGCTCAGGAGTGGGTGGCTCAGGAGTAGGTGGTTTTAGCTTTGCAATTAAAGCTTTACGCTCTTCTCGACGTTTTGCTATTAGTTCTTCTTCGTCAACTTCCATTTTTTCAGCAAAGTCATCAAGGTTGATTCTGCATCATAAAATTGCTTATTTTAAAATATGTAATTTAATAATTAGAAACAACTGTACTTTAAATAAATTTTCAATTTTCACTGTTTTTCAAGATTTTTTTTATAAAGAAAAAACTCATACCATGTATTCTACCAGTTTGTTTTAATAAAAAACTAAACATCAAAAAACATTTTTTAACTTTTTTTTCTTTATTAAAATTTAAAATTTTTTTAAAAGATTTAAAATTAGGAATATAATAATAAACAATAATATTAAACTTTTTGTAATATATATATGCAATAAAATACTTTTTTAATAATTTTTGCAATTTATAACTGAAAGCAAAATTTTGTGGTTCCTTTGATTCACTATTTATACGAAAGTAAATTTTAACAACAAAAATCTCAAAATTAAAAAAGTTGAGCTAAAACTTGTGCAATGTTTAGAATGTTTTTGTTATAAAAAGATTCGTTTTTTTATTTTTTTTTAAACTTTAGAGCAAAAATTAAACTTTTAATAAACAACTAAGATAAAAAAGAATTAAAATAAATACAAAGTCTAAAATTACTAAAATAAAAAAAACATGGTGAAATAAAATTTTTGTATGAGTTGCCATCAGAAGTCAACAAAACATGAAACAAAATAACAAAAATTCAACAAGTTAATATAGTGGAATGTTTAAAGAATTTACTAATATCTGTTTTAATAAAATGCAAGATCAAAAATCATTACTTACACCAATTCACCAGTGAATATTTAACAGAATGTAAATTGAATAAAATATAGAAAAGATATAGTCCAAAACATGTGAAAGATAAAGACATACTGTTGCATTTGGTGGTAAAAAAACTCAAGACACCAAGAAATTAATAGCTGACCTGATTAGCTGTTCAGTATTAGACATTAAAGCTATAACAAAGAAAAAGATGAAGTTCTAAGCTGATTATCAGGTATGACAGAATTGGATGTTCAAGATTTGGTTTTTACATTATCACATCACAGAATGATTTTCAAGCAAATTTATTTCAATTTTCACAATATATTTAATCCCATGCATGAACAATAATAAACATATATAAGTGCATAAGCTGATAAAATGCTATTAACTTTGTAAAGATATACATGCACAAATGCGAGTTAACTAAATCAAAAGCAAACTATAAAGAAAAATCTCTGTACCTTTCCATAAACCAAATAAACATTGTCATTGCATTATGTAATGATAAGAAATCTGATACAATTTATACAATTAAAGAAAAAGATTTTTAAAATTTCTTTAATTAAACACAAAATTTGTTTTTGCTTTGCCACTAGTTTTTCTGGAACCAAAATTAGAGTAAAAGCCAAGAGAAACTAGCTGCTCTCGCTCTCAAAAAAATTTGAAAAAGATAAACAAATAACTTTTTTTTAACAATTTTAAACGTTTCACAATTATATCTTGACCATGCTTTACACTAAAAAACCTTTCTTTGTTGTAATAATTTAATCAAATAATAAAGTTTTATTTTTTAAGAGTATTAAATCAATTAATAGAGTTTTTATTTCTTTAAGAATATTAAATCAAATAATAAATAAAGTTTTTATTTCTTTAAGAGTATTAAGGGATAATTTGAAAAAACCAGTAAAAGTAAACCAAAAAAACAAAAAGTAAAAGTTTGATAAAAATGTTTTGAATCATTATGTATTTTAGTTCAATAAAACAATAACAGATCTAACAACCAATGACAAGACTTTTTTTTATTGACATCATTTAACTACAAAAGTAAAATAATCAGACCAGTATTTTAAAAAATAATAATCAAAGAACTAGAACATCAAGAGAAAAAAAATAGCGCTAAAAATTATAAAGTTTTTTGCTAATATCTTAATAAAAAGTTTGTTTTAAAAAAGTTTAACAAAAAACTTTTATTAAGGATTATTAATGATATGAACACAATTTGTCTTGACACTTGCATATCCCTTTAAAAACAAAAATGTTCAAATGCAGTGTTTATTTTTTAAAATTTTCAAGTGAGTATTGATGTTTGAATAAAAGTTAGCAAACTTGACATTCTTTTTTTGTTGTTATTGTTGTCAATTTTTATGCTAAACATTTGCACATTCGACAATTTATCAAGCCCTGATGAATAATAAGGTCAAGAGCTTTATAAGGATTTATAAGCATGGACCGAATAATATTTCTTTAATGCAAACATTCTTGCCACTATTCAGTAAATTATTAATTAAAAAAAGCCATAACCTCTACAAGAGCCACACAACAGTATGTCCTAATTAATAACAACAAAATTGGTTAGATAAAAAAAGCTCAAAATCTTTTGAGTAGGCTGGAAGGATATATATTGGCTGAAAGTGCGATTTTATGAATCTTAAAACTCTGGGATAATAACTTTAATTTATTTATTTATAATTTTAATACTTGGATGATTTAAATATCAGAAAATGTCAGAAGTTATTTCATTCCACTAATCCCTTCATTGAAAACACCATATTGTTAAAAAAGAATGACTTGCATAGTGTTCAAAGAGTTCTATTTAATGCAGTTTGTATACTCAAAAAATCAAAAAATACTTTCCTGATTCTCTGATTCTGGTTAATTACAAAATTTGTTAACATCTTATATACTAAAAAAAAAATTAAGATTTATCAGCATAGTATTTTTTAATAAGTTTGAACAAAGCATAAAAATGTTTTTCTAAATGCTTTCATAGCAAATGGCTTCAAACTTTTGTACCTATTTCAATCTTTATTTTTCATTCATTTTCTTTACAAATCTTTTTATTGTAAAAAAATTATACAAGTTTACAGGATTTCAAATAAAAACAAAAATGATTGTCTTTAATGAGTTTTTTTTTTAAAAATCTTTTAATGAGCTTTTTTTTTTTTTTAAAAAAAATTAAATTTTTGAACAATATTAATCTATGTTAACAACCTGTGGCGAATACATCTACAATTATTTTATTCTTAGTAATTTTGCAATCAAAAAAATCTTTAAAACACCTTTTATCAAATATACTAAATTCAAATATTTTATTTTCTTTTGCAGCCATTTTATAGCCAATGCTTTGCAATGAGATCAAAACGTTATTCTTTTAATGTTGATTATTAATGCAAGAGCTTCAACTTATTGTAATTTTTCATCTATTTGATGGAAAAAAAAAGAGTTAGTTCATTTAAAAAAATACTGATATTTTTTTAAAAACACATGAGCATTTTTTTGAAAACAAGTGACAATAGTATTTGTGTGAGTGCTAGCATGCACAAGTGTTTGCTAAATAAAGATGCCTACTTGTAATAATCATAGAAAATAGCTTCAAGTTATATGTTTTACTCTCTTTAAGAGCAAACGTTACAAAGGTTACACAACCAAAAGTTTGAATTTTGGTGGGGTAACCTTAAAATGACCTGACCTGTTTTGTACTTAAGCAAAACCTAAATGTTTTACTCAAGATCAGAACAAAATGTAAAACCTTACTAATTTTTATGATACAAATATAGGGTTCTGGTTAAATTTAGTTCAAAAACTAATAAAAAGCTTGTTTAAATCCTATATACAAAAATATATACAAACATTAATTTCATATTAGAAGATGGGTTATATAATTTCATATTAGAAGATGGGTTATATAATTTTAGGAAAAATTTAAGAAATCTAATAATTATCTTTTTTATTTATTTATTAAAAAGATAATTCAATTAACAATATGAAGTGAGGCTGTCATCTCTAAATTAGTAATTTCAAATGTTTTCACTAAGGTAATATATAGTTTTATTGCAAAGTGGTCACACTTAAAATACTCTGTATCATAACTCTAAACTACTCAAAAGATACTTAAAGTTACTACCTTTAGTTAAACTTTGTAAAAATCTAATATGTGGTATGTTAATTTAAAGACACACTATGCAATATAGGGTTAAACTTTGAAGAATTTATTTTGATATTTCTGAGCAAGTTTATATCAATTAAAAAATACTTAATTATTTTTTAAAGTTACAACTATGTTTTAGAAGCATTTAGATTTAATTTATATTTATTATAAAGGTATAAACCTGAAAAATGTGTTTGTTGCTTTAAAGCAACACCATGCAACTAGATATATAAAAACCTAAAAATAACATATTTATGAATTTTTTATTTTTAAATGTTTTGTCAAGGTTTTGTAAAAAGTTTTAATTGTGTTACTAGATGAGTGTTAAATGCTTTTATGGAAGCTTATCTAAGTCAAAACTTAATCATCCTCCTGTACTATTTCCGGTCCAAAATCCAGAAATGTCAGATGATAGTGATTTGTTTACAGATTTTGATGAAGAATAAAAATGCAATAAGAACTTAAACTTTAAGCAGAATATTAAGTACAAATTTAATTTAAGCATTAATTTAATTATCTTAAACTTTTTAAAACACTGTTTAAGCATTTCTATCTTTCAATTCAGTCTACTAGAAAGATAAAAATATTTCCTTATATATTACAAAAATATTACTACATTTTTTTTAGATGAATCCTAAAAACTTTTATGGATCTACAAAGAGGTTAAGAATCTTATTACGAAAAACCTGTAAATCAACCTAAACTATCTGAAGTCAGTGATCTTTCAAGAGAATCTGATGAAGACTTTATTACATCAGAGTCAGAATCAGAATATGGTACTTCAGAATGGGATAGTGAGACTTCAGATGGTAATGAACAACAGCAAGCTCAACAGTTATCATCAGCTAAAACACATCAACATTTCCTGCAACAACCACAACCAACATACCAACCACAAGAAAAAAAAAAGAAATCTTATTTGGAAAATTAAAAAAGATGACGATGTTCAGCTAATAAACTTTCCATTTCAAAACAGTGAAGATAAAGATTATAATAATGGAATCTCAGATGAGCCAATATCATATGTAAGAAGATTTTTAATCTATGAACTTCTTCAAAAGATTGTTGATGAGTCTAATAAATATGCATCACAAATAAATATAGAGAGTATATTACGTTTGGAAAAAGATGAACTTGAGCATTTTATTGGCATTTTGTATTTGATGAGTATTGTGAAGTTCCCATCAACATGCATGTATTGGAGCAATAAGTTGTATTTTGAAAAAATTGCTGCAGTGATGAAATTAAACCGATTTGAAAAAATAAAGTTATTTTTTCATTGTGATGACGACAGACAGCCTCCAGAAAACTGTACTGACAAGCTTTACAAGATACGTCCCATCATTAATATGCTGAAAGAATCTTTTATTCCTCTGAAACATGACAAATTCCTGTATATTGATGAACAGGTTGTTCCTTTCAAAGGAACAACCTGTTCATCAAGATCTTCGTTAAAACAGTATAATACTAATAAGCCGAAAAAGTAGGGTTTCAAGTTTTATATCTTAGCTAGTGTTGATGGACTAGTTAATAATTTTGAAATACATTCCGGTTTAATTGATGTTTGTGTAGGACAGCCTGATTTAAAAGCATCTGGAAATATTGTGATGCACCTGTTATTTAATGTACCAAGGCATAAATGGCACAAGTTATTTTTTGACAATTGGTACACTGGGTTCGACCTGGTGAAAACACTTTACCACCAAGGCATAGCATGCACTGGAACAGTTCATACAAACAGGCTTCCAAATATTAAAATGCCTTCTGATGGTGAATTAAAAAAAGAAGGTAGAGGATCAACAGCCATTAGGGTTACTACAGTTGATTATGTTGAACTTCGCGCTGTTAAATGGTTTGATAACAGGGGTATTGCATTGTTAACAAGTTATGAGGCGGCGAAATCCAATAACCATTGTAAACCGTTGGGATAGAAAAACCAAGAGAATTGTTCAAGTCAAACGGCCATCTGTTGTTACCACATACAACACATATATGGGTGGGATGGACCTTCTTGATGGCATGTTGAGTCTTTACAGGATCCATATTCGATCTAAAAAGTGTTATCACAAACTCATTTGGTATTTTTTTGACTTGATTGTAGTACAGCATGGATACTCTACTGTAGAACAACGAAAGTTTTTTGTGAGAAGTGTAAAGTTCATTTATGCTTTACATCTAATTCAAATTATTTTCAAAAGTTTCATGAATAATTCTTGAAATACTTCTTGTTTTTTATTTACAGTTTTTTGAAATTAAAATAATGGTTAAGCTTGTAAACTAATTCTTACTTTGAAATTTTTTCGAAAGATTTTCTTGTTTTAACCAAGAGCTGTAACTAAATGTTAAGTAAATTTGATTTTTAATTACAATTATTCTGTAGTTATTTGTATTTTAGAATTTTTGTTTAGACTTTGTGGTCAATTTATAATATTATCTTCTTCAGACAAACTATTCTTTGACATGTTAACTTAGATTAAAAAACTGTCATAACTGCATATTGTTGCCTTAAAGCAACAAAGCCAAAAAAACCAAAGTAAAAAGGTAAAAAAAAAATTTTGATTATTTTTTGTTTACTTAGTCCTCAAATAACATTTTAAAAGGATTTTCAAATTTTTTAATCATTTGTGGAATAAATCATGCAATAAAAGGTTAAAATTAGATATAACCTCCCCCCCCCACCTTTTTCTTTTTTTACTCTTCTAAATATGTTAATATCATTTTTAAAATTATATATTAAAAAGTAATAAAAAGGTAATAAAAATAAAATTACTCATCCTCAGATGATTCTTGCTTTTTTTCATGCTCTTCATTCCGTAAACGATTTTCTCTTGAAGAAAACTGCTTATGTGCTTCATCATTGGTTCTATATCTTTCAAAACTTCTTGGTTTGTCTCTACCATATATGTCACGACCAGTATCTCTATCTCTTCCATCTCTATCTCTTCCATCTCTACCATCTCTATCTCTACCATCTCTATCTTTTCCATCTCTATCTCTTCCATCTCTATCTCTTCCGTCTCTATCTCTTCCGTCTCTATCTCTTCCCTCTCTATCTCTTCCATCTCTATCTCTTCCCTCTCTATCTCTACCTTCTCTATCTCTGTTTCTATCTTTTCCATCTCTATCTCTAACATCTCTATCTCTAACATCTCTACCTCTCCCATCATCTCTATACCTTTTATCAACAGAAGAACGATCAGAAACCTTTCTTTCATCTAATCTATCAAAATCATCATTAGACCGAACTTGATTACTTTTTACTCTGAAATCTGATCTCTCATTGCTACGATTGCGCACAGGCTCTTCTTTTCGATTATCTGATTTATCAAATCTAGAATCATCTCGTCTTCTGTCTGAATCACGTTTTTCACTTTCTTCCTTTCTGTGTGTTTTTTCACGGCGATATGTGTCTTCTCTTCTTTCAGAATCTCGTCTAGTATCAGTCCTTGAATGAATTTTGGAGTCAACCATATCTCTAGAATCATTGCTATGATATCGGTCTTTTCTTGATCCATCTGAACGACTGTCATAACTTTTCTTATCATCTTTTTTATCATTTTTACTCGATGAACTATAAACAGAATGACTTTTTTTTTCATTTTTACTTTCATTATCTGGCTTTAAAGCTTCCTTTTTACAGTCCTCAACTAAACGAGCAACTTCAGAATCATTTGCTGTTAGATCTTTCATTATTTCTGAATATTCACTGTTAGCATCTGAAACAGCAATTACACTACTGAAATTAGTTGTTTCTTCTAGTTGCTGCTGTAACAGCCTTTTGCGATTTTCCAATTGATCTAAATCAGCCATATCAATAAGAACAGATAAAACATCATTATCAGATTTCTCTTTCTTTTTTTTATGTTTGCGCTTTTTTTTTTCCTTTTTCTTTTTCTTTTTATGAAATGATTCCGTTTTGCTTTTATCTTCTTTGTCATCGTCTTCCATATCGCTAATAATATAAAAAAATATCCATTATTAATATGATCATTACATTTACATTCTAACCCATTTTTGCATCAATATTTACTAAAATCTACACAGCTACAAATAATTAAAGTATAATATCTAATAATACTAATGTCTACACACTTATAGGAGATTAAACCATTCAGAGAGCATTTATCTCAATGAATTTCATATTTTAACAAGATACATGATAAACATAAGATGTAGCATAGATTTTGAAAAAGCAATAGATGTTTTTGCTTATTTATTTTTTTTATTGAATTAGATATCAAAACGAAGAGTAACAATTTGTACTTAACATATCAATTTTTAAGGGTGAATTTCTAAATTGTAAAAAAAAAAAAAAACAAAAAAAAAACTATCAACATTTTTTGAAAAAACTTTTTAACTCAGGGCTTGAAATAATGAACTTTTTTTGCCCGAACAATTTGTCTGATAAACATTCAAGTTTAGCAGACATGTCCGATAAAACCTAAAAAAATGCAATTAAACGCCATTTCTGACCACACATAAAATATTTATTTTTTCAACTTAACCACAACAGTTTGATTTGACAAATTAAGGCATTTCAAAAATGTGCTGAAAAAAAAAAAAAATTTAAAAGATAACTTATCTAAAAAAAAGTAAATTATAAAGAAAAAAAAAATCTAAGTTCAAAAAACTAAAACTTAAAAAGGAAAATATATTTATATTACATTTTTAAAAAAATGCTATGCTATGCGAAAGGCTTTGTGTATTATTATAAATATATTAAATACATAAATTATTATCTTTACTAACTTATTCATTAAATTAAGTAACAAATTAATTCTTATGGTTGTTTACAATAAACCCATTTTATCTAAATTATCAAAGAATATTTTATGTAATTACATTATATAATATATATTTTTTTATAAATCTTTTCATTATATAGTATATATTTTTTTATAAATCTTTTCAACTTTTTTCTATGATCACTTTCATAAAAACTTTTATTAACGAAAAAATTTAGCGCAAACAAATGTTACATAGCATAACTCAAATTTAATAATGTAATCAAAAGTATTAATTTCAATAAAATAATGATAAAAGCACTGATTTCTATAAACATTAAAGAGATCCCCAACTGCCGAGACAACTTGTGTTCATATTAAAGAAAATGTTTAAAAAAAACATTTGGGCTGAATTTTTTTGATTGAAACTAAATAATAAATGCATACCAACAAAATTAAAATTATTGTTTTAGTTGAAGCTCGTCGTCTCCATTTTTTTGTGGTTCTCAGAGTCTGTATAATGTTAGCCGCAATCTGCAGACTTAACTAATTCATAACAGTTTTGGTATATGACATCATCGCAATATCTTTTTAAGATAGTGTTTTTTTTTAAGATATAAGTATTTTTTCTACTACAATCAGAAAATCAAATATTTGTATAACTATTTACTAAATCACAAAAAATATTTGTGACAGTAAAAAATTATACAAATATATATATATATATATATATATATATATATATATATATATATATATATATATATATATATATATATATATATATATATATATATATATATATATATACATATACATATATTTATAAATTTTTTTATTCTTACTTTGTTGTAGAAGTCAGCCAAAACCATGACACAATTATACGTATTTTGTGATTATTAGAGTTCGTAGGCAGATAAAAAAAAAAGGCAGTATGATGCGGTTTTTCGTTTTATATTTAGTTCATATGGTTCAATAGAGTTGTTTGTTTTATGTTTAATTTACATTTAGTTATGGTTTAACTCTTTCACTACTGCAAGCCACTGGTAGCGGCTTTCGAGTATGCCTTACAATTTATCTTGTTTTGTACATAAATTTCCATTCTAGTCACATAGAATTTGTTGGTTCTGAAGGTTTAATTAATTCTCTACATAATCAAGAAAAAAAAAGAGCTATATTAGGGTGTCCCAAAAAACAACATTTTTGAAAATAATCTGCTCTCACCCCCTAAATGTGTTCTATCTAATGCAAAAACACTAGGTTTAAATTTTTTTTGAATAAAAAATATTTTAAAAGGGTCCCTTGAATATTTAAAGACCCTTGAATATTTAATGGGTCCCTAATATTTTTGAAAAAAAAACTTTTCAAAAATATGTCAACCTGGTACTCAAATAAAGCGAAATTATATAAAAATTTTGAAAATAATATTCATTTCGAAACAAAATTGTTATATTTAGTTTTATTACATGAAAAATTGCGTTTTCTAAGAAAAAATGAAAAAAATGCATTTCTAATGTTTTTTTATAATAATTTTGATAAATACGTTAAAAATATTTCAAAATAAATAATATTTTTGAAATATTTATATAATTTCGCTTTATTTGAGTACCAGGTTGACATATTTTTGAAAAACTTTTTTTTCGACAACATTAGGGACCCATTAAAAATTTATACGCTGAAGTCATATACCGAAACTGTTATGAATAAACACACATGGAATAAATTATCAAGTCTGCAGATTGCGGCTAATATTATATAGACTCTGAGAACCAAAAAAAATGGAGATGGTGAACTTCGACTAAAACGTGAATTTTAAATTTAATGGTGTGCATTCATTATATAGTTTTAATCAAAAAATTTTAGTCTAAATGTTTTTTTTAAACATTTTCATATGAACATAACTTGTTTCGGCAGTTGTGGATCCTTTTAAAGAAACTATTATGTTAAAGTTTTCATAAAATTCATTTAAAAAGGGGTTTTAAAAGCTAAAATATTTTTTTGAAATTTATAGAAATCATCGGACAAAAAATAAAACAAATACTGAAATATAAATTTAAATTAATAATTAATTTCAATGTTTTGATATAAATGATAAAAACCTGGCTGCTCAAATAAAAAAAACTTAATGCTTAGTGTCTTTTAAAAAATGACTTAGCTCGAAAAAATGATATATTTTGTTAACGTAGCTGTGTGTTCAACTTCATTTTTTGTTTTGTATAAAAAAAAAGTTGAAAAAACAAAGTTTATATACACTACTGAACTTATTACTAGTTTTAAAACAACTAAAATGAATATAAAATAAATACACATTAATATGGGCCAGACAGATTGACTGATAGATATCGTTTTTTACCGGACAATGTCTGGCGGCTATTTTAAGTCATGTCTATAACTAATTAAAGTGGTTAAAAATTTGTAATGTTTGTGATTTTACTCTTACTTTTTTAAGTATCATGTGGAAAAAAAAAATTTTTTTTGCGTTAATTTAAGCCCTGTATATATATATATATATATATATATATATATATATATATATATATATATATATATATATATATATATATATATATATATATATATATATATATATATATATATATATATATATATATATATATATATATATATATATATATATATAAAGTTAATCAAAAGTGATTGGTATTTTGTTAAAAGTGATGTGATTTTTATATTCAGAATACAAATTTTGAATGGCAACTAATGCCATTCTTTCAAGACTTTTTCAAAAACTTATTATCAAATGTTTTATAATGTTGTAGATGTTATTGAAACTTTGGTTGAGCAAGCTACCAATAGAACACTATCATTCTGAGTAAAAGTCTAGAAACAAAAAAAATCATTGTTTTTAACTCAAAGAAAAAATACAATTCAAATGTATTTTCAATTTTTTAATTTTAAAAATAAAAAAATGTTAACTTTTTTTTTCTGCCAAATATTCTGCAGAGTGATTTGGATGTTTAACAATGGGTTAATCTGTTCTGGGTTAATAGATTCAAGAGTCAAGTTAGAGTAAGATTTCTTTGCAAATAACTCTGCTTTATTCTGGGAAGAAGTAAAAAGATCAGACACATGAATTAAAGATTAAATGTTAGACCTACTTTAGTTATTAAAATTGAAGAATAGGAATGTAAAGTATAAAAGCTTCCAAACTTTTAGTCCAGAAGGATAAAAGTTTCCGAGATGTGCTTAATGCATATATATTATGAATATAAATATATACATTTTGCTATTTACTTAGATGCTGGTATATAATATCCTTTCATTTTTATGTAAACTTTAATATTTATAAGGTGAAGTATTTGCCGAAAGAGAAGATGATTGCGATAATGGGGGGGGGGGGGGGGGAAGGAAAGCTGCATTAGTATATAATTGTAAGTTTTGTACGTAATTGTTCTATTTTTAACATATTATCTCTCATATTTAAATATAATCTTATAATTTTCTTGTTTGGCAGAGTTTAAAATAGCATAAGTTACTGTTATTATTTACAACTTAAGTTATAACTTGAAGTTTAAGTTGCAGTTGTAATAAGCAATAACGTTTTTAATACTATTAAGATATTTCTTTAAGTATATTTTTACTTAACATGATACTTAAAAAAGTAAAAGTAAAAGAGAAAAAACATTACAATATCTAAACCACTTTAATTAGTCAAAGAAAACTATTTAATACGTTCATGCTGACGTTAAAACACGTGTTAATTTAAAAAAGTATTTAATTGTTAAAAGCTATAAAGCAACTTTAAAACAAATTGCAAAGTCGATTTAAAAATATAAAGAGCTTGAAATAATGTAAAACAAATTCGTGATGCTGTTTCACTTTGATTTATACAGTTTATAAAATAAAACGCGTTTAAAATAAAAGGAAGCAAATAAATAAAATTGAGCTAGTTAATAAACTAAAACAAAAACTTCATATTTGCGCCTATAGACCTAAACGAGTTTATAATTTATAGACCAAACGAGTAAGATCAAAGCAAAAAAACATTAGATACCACGTCTTTTATAAATTATCATTTCCTGATCGAGCGTACTATTAAAAATTTAAGTATAATTAAGTTTTTAATTCAAAAGGTTTTTAAACTGTTTTCATTCAATTTTTTTTTATTCTAATTGTTTTCCAAAAAAAAGTGAAACAAAAAATTTTGTTTAATAAATCAAATTATATTAAGTATACGAATATGCTTAAATTATTTTTTGAGAAAATTTTTTTTTTCGTACAGAAGTAAAATAATTTATTAAATTTAATTTAAAATTTTTATAATTTTGATTTTAACTTGCAATTTTCAATCACAGCTTTGATGTTTGCAATAGAATGTTTCTACTTTTAAAACTATTTTCAAGAAAAAATATATAATTCAAAACGTTAAAAAAATTTACGATTTACGAAAAAAAAACTTTTATCTTCATTCTCCCTTGTTTCATCAAACTTTTTTTCAATTTAAAATTTTTTTTTTCAATTTCAAATTTCAATCACAAAATTATTTGAATAAGTGAATTTTAAGGCTAAAGTTCTCTTGTTCAAAAAGATTTCCTTTAAAATAAAATTTCATAAAAACAACTTGCGTATTCATAGAAAACGTTTAGTCTAGATGTCGCTATAAATAAAATGAAAATATAAAAAAATGGTGTCGCAATTTTTATTTTCTATTCGACAATTTCGTTAAAATAATTATTAGTTAAAAGCTTATATTATGTTTTAACAACATGTAAGATCTAAATTGAAACATGTCTATGACTAACCTTTGCGAGTATATTAAATAAATTAATATAATTGTTAAATTAATACTTGAGTTACTATCTTAACTTAACTGGTTGTTTTGATTTAGGTTATAAGTTAATTTACTGTGATAGACTCTATCCATTCAGTAAAGTTAACTAAATATAACTTCAATAGTTTCAAGATCATTAAAAGCGAAAAACGTGAAAGCAAAAAAGTTGCTGGTTTCAGTTAGCACAATTTTACTAATAGAAATTTTATTTAAAAAAAACGAATTAATATATATTTTATTATACTTAAAGTAGTAAAAATAATTATATAAAATTGTTTATAAAATAATTTAATTCATTATTAATAAGTTAATTTGGAGCAACGTTTTTTTTGAAAAAAAAGATAAAAATGCTGTTTTGTTAAAAAAAATAGAATGAAGAAAAAATTCTTTTTAACTTTTGTCTTTTTAATATGCAACTACGCAGAGATTTAAATTTAAATTAAAGTGCTTTACATTGAATAAAAATCTCCGCACGAAAGAGCAAATGATCATGCTTCTATTCAAAAGACAAACTTTGCATGACGTACTTTACTATGAAAACATCACTTTTTAAGAATTGCCAAAAGAAAAAGCTAATTAGAAAAAAAAGTAAATAAACAACAAAAAAAGTAAACCTATTGCAAAAATATGTTTTAAGAAAAAACTAATCACGAAAGTATAAAAAGCAATCGTGATTTGCAATCGTGATATGCTTAATTCGAGCCCTGTGATGTATAAATGTTTATGCAGCCCTAGTCACAAACCTAGCCCCGGCTATTTTATATTAAACTTGGTCCTGGCCCAGGTCAAATATCAACCCCAGTTGTATACTACTGTGGTACCATGTATCTTATGAGCATATCATACTTTGAGTTCATATCTTCATTCCGAGAGCCGATGATTTCAACTGTGTCATTAAGAGTATCAGCAATTAAGAGTTATCAATGTGGAGACCTAAAAGAATCAACTGTTTTTGTTTATTTACATAGACAGAATTTTTTATAAATCCAACTTTCAAGGTTTTTGTCCTGTCAACGCTGAGTTAAAAAAGAAGGCAGGACATAAATTAAATTGATTGGGGTAATTAGCAGATTGAGGTAAGCATAGAATACAGCACCATTTAACAACATCTTAATTTAATGTTGCTAAATTTGCACTGTTAATTGTGCAACTACCAATAACAAATTTTTCTTGGGGCAAAAACCTAACAACTCGCGATTTACTATTAAAGTATTTAGTAGAAGTAGTTTGACTTGAGTAGTTTTCTCTGACATATAGTTCGATTAATGCTTGCCAAACACTCAAGTATGTCGTCAATACTTAGCTCCTGACATACAAAGTATAGCTCAGCGTGAAAAGTATGCTATTTGGTCTCTGTTATATTCTGAAAAAAATCTCCTTATTTTATTGGTTTCAGTACTTCTTACTTTTTATTATGCGGATGATGCAAATAAAATAATTTTGTCTGCTTTTATAAAACTCACACATTTACGTATGTTTCAGTAATTATTTTTTGAAAATTGTTGTTACAACTCTTTATTTAGTTATGCTTGTTGTTTATTGCAACAAGCATAACTAAATAAAGAGTTGTAACAACAATTTCAAAAAATTTGAAAGAGTCTCCAAACTGTGGTGACCAACACAGTTGGTATATCTGAGAGCGCAATATCGATAATGGATAAAACACAGCTAAAGAAAGAAGATCTGAAATTATATGCCTACAAAATAGTTTGAAATATATGCTCTTCCATCATTTAATCACTTATAATACAATAACTTTTTGTTTGTTTATTGAAAAAAGTAGAAACACAGTTTAACAATAGTAGCTATAATATATTTTTGAAATTTTATTTTTAGAGATAACTTGATCCAAAAATTAATGTCATTTTATAACCTAAATATTTTTGAAGGTATTTAGTGTTTTTAGAATTAAATAATAAAATCAATTATAGCATTAAATTAGCCTAATAGTGTGCATAATTTTTAATGATAAGCATTAATCGCACAAAAAATATGCCAGCCACCAAAAAAATAACTTTTTTTTTTTTTATATAGCACTTGTCATTTTCAAGACTTACCTCATCAATTTTCAAGAAATTTATTCTTTAAAATTAGTTTATTTTTTTGTAAAACTTTTCTTGCATTACCACTAAATAAATTATTTGTACTAAATAAATAAAAAGTACTATTGCAGATTTATTATGTCAAAGGAGGGCCATTTCCTAGCCATTAAACTTCCAATTACTATAGTTTTTATTATTTTCCTTATTTTGAATAATGATTTTGTTTATTGTTACTTTTGTAAAAGAAGAGATGTGATGGAAACATTGGTGTTTCTTAAAAATGTTAAATCACTAAAAACGTCCAGTCATACAAAAAAAAAAAAAAAAATCTTAAATTTTGTACTTTAAAAGTTGCATAAGTTTTTAACTAATAATAATATAAAAATAAGTTTAGTATTTTTTAAATGTTACTATTTAGCTCTAACTTATGGTATTTGTTTTGTTTTTTATTTTTGAAATGTTGAAGTATAAATGTTGGTATTAAAAGATCTTTCTTTTGATACCAACATTTGTATGTCACATCGGTATGCATTTTGATAAGAGTTGGACAATTTAAGAAAAACTCATTAGCAAATTCATATGAAATTTTTTTTCTTAAAACACCATAATTTATTTCTAAATTTCTTAATTTTGATTACTGCCTTACTGCCCTTTTTAATGATAATAACAATCTAGTTTTTAATCGATTTAAAAATGTTACCAAAAACTTTTTTGGTACTTACCAAAAATTATGGACATGAACCAAATGTTGTTATTATAGATATTAAGTATAGATATTGATTCTTTAACTATATTGTTCTATAAATAATAATTCAACATCTATATTCTACATATGTCAGTAGAGACTCTACTGACATCATCCACACTCTACTAGAGTGTGGATGTCAAGAATTCTTATCCTACATTTCTGAGGAATTTCTTGTTATGTCAACATTTACAAGGTAATATTATCATTACCATTACCTCTAAAACGTATATTTGGACAATGAATTTCTTAAAACTAATTGAAAATATTACCTGTCAGCTTGAGTTAGTTTATTTTCTACGGTGTCTCCATTGGTATAACGCACATCAACCGCCATATTTAACCAACTTAGTTGCAACGCACGCGTGCGAGAGACAAATATCTTAATTTTTTTTTTTTTTTTTTTTTTTTTTACAGTTAATATAACAACATCGAACTATATTACACAGAGTTACAAACTAAACAAGTACACTTAACACATCATAATATCAATTCATGTTGAAGACAGTAGCGTGGCGACAGATCTGCAACACTGGGGAACATGTCAGGGATAGGGGTGGATCTAGTATTTTTTCGATCTTTGAGATGGCTGATTTCCAGACATGGAGCAAACTCCAAACATTTATATGTTTATACTCAGGGCCGCCAAGAAGAAGGGCAATTGAAGTAGTTTGCCCCGGGCATCACAGTCTATGGGGCATCACATATGCCTTAAAAAAAAATTATTTTAATGATACAAAATTTAGCTGATAACTTATTTAAAGCTTAAGCTAATTTTGTGTATTAATTTCGTTCTCCTTTTAAACTTTGTTTACATTTAAAATAGGGTAATTATTACTTCACAAGGTTTTCATTTTCCATATGAACGCACGCGTTTTTATTGCCCTTTTGTTTGAATAATAAAGTAAAGGTTATCTTCTTGTTTAACGGCATGAAAAAGTGCTTTAGGACATGAAACAAAATTGGAGATGAAACAAAGTGATGGAAATTTTATAATGTATTCTTTGTCATAATTTTTCTGGCTTCAAGAAATTTAGATTTTAGGAGTAAGAATATTGTTTTTAAATTTTAATTTATATTCTGAATTATTTTATTTATAATTTAAAAATCAAAACTAAAAATTATAATTGGATATAAGTACGGATTTATTTTGATAATGGTTCAAAAATGGGAATGTAAATTTCTTGGAGCTTATTGCTAAGCAAGGCTACGACAATGGCGCTAATATTTACTATTTACAATGGAGTTGAAACTTTGATTAAGCAGAATAATCTACAAGCAATTTTCATTCCTTGCTCAGCTCAAAGTTTGAACTTATGTGCAGTACACGCTACTGAATTATTGGCTTCTGCAAAATCTTAAATGGAATTATTCATAAGCTATACAGTTCGGATGGAGCTCAAGGATTGAAGCAGTCAAGCTACTAGTAAAAAAGCCAAGAAAGATCTTGAAATCATTACATAGTCCAAAAGAGTTAGACCTTCCAGACGAAAGTAGTAATAAAGTGTATTATCTAATTTAATGGATGAATTTTTTTGAAAATTTTTATTTTCACTACTTCTTGGTATAAATGTTTGATGGTAGGTAACAACGTCAGTCTTTAGCTTCAATTCAATCAACTCACTCTTGATGATGAAGTAAAGATTATAAATGGCCAATTGACAGATCTGGATTAAATCCGTTTGTCTTGGGACCTTATTATACCTGATATAGGCAACAGAATTTGCAAAGTGCTTGAAATTTAATGAAATTTGCTTTATGTGAAGAGAACTCAAAAAAAGAAGGTTCATCCCTGATGAAACTGCTAGTTACAACAACGAAGAGGCATCAAAAACTTTGAGTGTAATGTCTTCAATTTTTCGCCGAACAATCTGACTAGTCAAATGAGATCAAGATTTAAAGTAATGAAAGAGGAATGTAACAAGTTTTCCTTCCTTTGGTCTTCACAGAAATCTCAAACAGACAAAGAACTAGGTTTAAAAACTGAGAATCTGGAAAAACGTTACCCAGAAGACTTATGTGAAAAAGAGTTTTCTAATGAAGTTTGGTTTTTTCCGTAAGAAGAAATATTCTAGCCAGCAAAAAGCCTGTCGAACTTCTAAATAAAGTTTATGTAAAGGGGTTGAGCTCAATATTTCCACAAGTGTTTCCACAAGAAAAATCTTTCAGCAAGTTAGCTTTCATCAAAGATTATCTTGGTTCCACATTGGATCAGGAGCAATATTGCTACTTGATGATCCTTTCAATTGAATTAGACTTAGCCAATAACGTTTCTTATGAAGATGTTATTTTTGCCGCTAAGATGTGTTGTATAAAGACTTGATGGTACCATAATTTGCATTTAAAAACCAAAATTAATTAAACGTGAGTTTAAGTTTTTTATGAAAGTAAACAAAAAATAGCTATACTAATTTATTTGGTATTTTTTATTTTTAAGACCTAAAGTATGATAGGGCATCCATCAAACTTTTGGACCCGGTCATTACAAGAGCTCTTGACGGGCCTGTTTATACTTATGTCAAATAAGGATTTTTTGCAAAAATTGCAATGATTGGGAACAAAAAAACCTTTAAATTTTCGCCTGTTTATTTATTATTGATGCTCTGGTTGACCCATGGGTTTTTCTTTCATTTGGTTAAATAAAAAGTTATTACTAAAAATCTACGGAAAGAAACTAAAGTTTTCAAAAATTTCAGTAAATTTGTAATAAAAAGAGTAATTTTCAAAATTTTTAAAAATCCATGGGTCAATTGGTGTATAATAAGGTGTTTTATCATTGTGTCAACTTTTAATCTATACACCTTTATAATATTTCACAGTTTATATTTTTCTCGTGTACCACCTTAAAGTTATAAAGATATGTTAATAGGTTAATACGATAATAAAGATATTTTAATAGTTAGAGTAAACTATGGTAAAATGAGCACCTTAAGGCGGTAGTAGAGTCTACGCCTCTGGGTGGTAGACCTATGAAAAAAAGAGTTTTTTGATCAAAAATTGAAAAAATAGATAATATTGTGTGTGTGTGTGTGTGTGTGTGTATTTATGTAAGAATTATATATTATATATTTTGTAAAAATTTATCCTCTATCTGCTGATATATGACTAGTTTAGGTTTGATCAAATTAAAAGGGTTTAAAATAATATATTTTATTAGCTAGTTTATTTATTTGCCTTAGCAACGTCATAGCATTGAAAAGTTGAGACCTTATTTGGTTGGGGCTTGGTGATAAGGCTAATTTATGCTTTCTTTTTGCTCCAGCCAATTGTACTTTTTTATATTATTGTACATTGTGTAATTATTAGTAATGATATTATCGATAATGGATGCAGTTGTTTTAGTCACGCGTGTTGGCTTGTTGATTATGGGAAAAACGCTGTATTGCAAGAGTGTATTTATAAAACGCGCAACGTGGTTATCTGTTTTATTATTCAGAAAATTCAAATTAAAATCACCCAGTAAATACCATATAAGATTTTGCAGAAGCCAATAATTCAGTAGCGTGTACTGCACATAAGTTCAAACTTTGAGCAGAGCAAGGAATGAAAACTGCTTGTAGATTATTCTGCCTAATCAAAGCTTCAACTCCATTGTAAATACCTACCATATTAGCGCCATTGTCGTAGCCTTGCTTAACAATAAGCTCTAAGAAGTTTACATTCCCATTTTTGAACCGGTTCGATTAAATCCGAATCCGATTTCAAAAAATCGGATCGGATATCCGGTTTTGCTCACACCTAATCTATATTATATAAGAAAAAGAAGCTTCACAAGATTTGTCATTTTAGCCATCTAATTTAACTTCAATGACAATGCAGACAAAATTTATGATAACTTTTATGAAACCTTTTACTCCGTTTATGACGCAAACTTTCCTATTATTGAAAAGACAATAACTCCAAAATACAAAAATAACCCCTGGATAACAAAAAGATTTAAAAAATCATCCAAGATTAAACAGAAGCTGTATATAAAATATCTTAAAACAAAATCATTAGATAATGAGAAAATATATAAAAATTACAAATATCTCTTTGAAAAAGTTCGTAAAAACTTGAAAAAAAATTATTACACAAGACTCCTAGATAAATTCAAAAATAAAACAAAACGCAATTGGCAAATAATGAACGAAACTACTGGCAGACAAAAAAAATGCTCAGGTTCTCTTCCCCAGATGGTTATAGTGGATAACAAACGCATATGCGAACCAAAAGCTATAGCTAATGAGTTTAATTAATTCTTCACTGACATTGGTCCTAAACAAGCAAATAAAATTCCTTATACCAAAGCAACATTTAACGATTTTCTAGTACAGATGGATAATTGCATTAGTTCCAACGAATTATATTCTGAACTAACTTTTCATGAATTCGAAAAAGCATTCAAATCCCCTAAAAAAAACAAAGCAAACGGAGCAGATTACATAAACGGTAATATAGTTATAGAATGTTTTGAACATTTAAAAGATATACTTTTTAAGGTTTATGGAGCATCTTTTTACCAAGGAGTTTTTCCGGATCAATTAAAGATTGCTAAAATTACCCCAATTTTAAAAGAGGGAGATCAAACAAATATCAGTAGTTATCGTCCTATCTCCGTCCTCTGTACATTCTCAAAAATACTAGAACGCATTATGTATAATAGATTATACAATTATCTCCTTTCTAATAATTTGTTATACGCCAACCAGTTTGGTTTAAAAAAAAAATAATTCGACGGAACATGCAATTATCCAACTTGTACGTGAAATTTCAAATTCTTTTGAAAAATCTAAATTTATATTAGGTGTTTTTATCGACCTATCGAAGGCGTTCGATACTGTAGATCATGAAATTTTGATACAAAAACTGAAATACTATGGAATAAATTACAAAGTTATAAAATAGTTCCGAAGTTATTTATCTAACTGTAAACAATTTGTTTTTAGTAATAGTTGTTATCCAAATGAGTTCCTAAATGTTTCATGTCGCGTTCCCCAAGGTTCCATTTTGGGACCACTGTTGTTCTTGATTTATATAAACGACCTTAATAAAGCCTCTAATTTAATGAGTATAATGTTTGCTGATGACACCAACTTATTTCTTTCCAATAATGATATTTACAAACTCTTTTCTAGTATGAACGATGAACTTAAAATCATATCAAAATGGTTTATATGCAATAGAGCTAACTCTTAACAGTAACAAAACAAAATGGATTCTCTTCCATCCAATCGCAAAAAAACCTTACTTACCCCAATTTTTACCAGAAATCTTTATTGATAATACTGTGATAAAAAGACACTATGTCACAAGGTTTTTGGGTATTTTTCTTGATGAAAACATCACATGGAAAGCGCATATTGACTATATTAGCACAAAAATTTCTAAAAGCATTGGAATTTTATATAAATCGAGAACATATTTATGTAAAAAAGATTTAACCCAACTATACTACACATTTATTCATACCTATTTAAATTATGCAAATATTGCTTGGGGAAACACAGAAAAAAGCAAATTACAATGTCTTTACCGCCGTCAGAAGCATGCGATCCGTTTAATTAATTTTGCGGATCGATACACTCATTCCAAACCTTTTTTTATTGAAATGAAAATTCTTAATATTTACGAACTTAATGTGTTTAATGTTTTATGCTTTATGTATTTGTGGAAAAATGACTTATCCCTACCTATCTTTAAAGTTCTCTTTTGTGAAAAACCAATAAATAAAAATACTCTTAGAAATAATAAATTTTTGCATAAACCTTTTTGTCGAACAAAGTTTAACCAGTATGGTATTGCTTATCGTGCGCCATATCTTTGGAATAAAGTTGTTTTGCCAAATTTTGATATATTTTTCACTTTTCCAATTTTCAAACATAAACTCAAAAATTTAATTTTATTTTCCGATGACATAATAAGGTTCTTCTAATTGTAATTATGTACCTTTATTTAGAACTTTTTAATTGTAAAATACGTTTTATGTTAATTGTAAAATACGTTATATGTAACGATTCTTTTTGTTTTACTTTTTATATGTAACGAGTCTTTTTGTTTTACTTTTTATCTTTTTGTTTTACTTTTTACTTTTACTGTTTATTTTATAAATAGATTATATACATTGTAAATAATCATGCTAAATGCTTGTAAAAGGTTCTGATGATAAGATCAGTACGATCTTCTTTCAGAAACCTTGTTTGTATTTGTTAAAGTATTGTATTACGACAAATGTAAACTTAAAATGTAAAAAAAAAAAAAAAATTCCACGCGTCAAAGGTATGATCAGTATCGGAATTAAAACTAGCGCAAATCTAAAAAACCAAAGAGTGAATAAATTTCTAGTATGGCAACTGGCTTCAATTGTAAATGTAAATTTGGATGGTGTGTATTGTAGTTTGCATAGATAATGAAGTTTTCTTATTTGTGTGTTGGACAATATTTTTTGCTATATTTTCAGTGAAATGTTGCTTAAAGGTTTTGATTGTTGGTAAAACCCCTGTGCTGAGACGAGGACCACTTCGCTATTATAAAAAATTGTGAGCTATAACCTGATATTGGTTTGGTTGAGTTTCTGCCCACACAGTTTTATCAGTTGCAATAAAACTGCTGATTACTAAACTTTCTGGCTATGCAGTTTCTGCTTCTTTTTCATTTTCACAACGAAGAGAATCATTTTTTTTTCTTTGTGGTTGTGGACATTTTCTCTTTCATATTCAAATTTTGAAAAAAAAAATAATAATAATAATAATAAGTATTTATTTTAGGAAAAATAAACTTGTTAAAATATGTGTGTGTGCTTTCAGATGATCTTGTTGAGAGCAGCCGTGGTTTAGTTGTTTTGAGTTTTGGCTTCAGAGCCGGAGGTCCGTGATTCAAAGCTGGCTCTGGCATTATGGTATATATGCATTATTGGTAAGAAAGAAAGCATGAACTTCGTCATTAAATGCTGTTAAGCGCAGTGTGATAAGACCGTATATACTTCTGATAACTCTGTGATAAGACCGCATAGACTTCTTTGATCACTTAAATAAAAAAAGGAGAAACTGACAGTAGAAGCTCAACTTTGATAAGTATTTTCTTACTAATTTAATACTGCTCTGTTCTTTAAGATTATTGAGCACTTATTTTGTAAATTACACTAACATATTTGATATATAAGTACATACATATATGAATGCATCAGTAGAATCAAACTAGGTCATACTGAAATAGGTAGCTGGGGAGGGGGTCATTTTTTACCATAGTTACCACTCAAAAGATGATATTTAGACGTTAGGGTTTACCAAACATTAAATTTTTTTAAACACTCAAAAATAAAGTAGTTAATATAAATTTATAATTTTTTGAAAACATTTTATTTATCATATTTGATTTTACAATCACAACTTCGTATCGTCTTCTTATTTTCTTCCACAAACTGGAAACGAAAATTTTTCACTATAAAAACAAATTAGCTTATTTTAAGTATAATTTTCCCAAAACTCTGGTTCGATTCCATGTACGCATGCGCTTCATTCACGTTTGTCCAGTCAAGTACTTTGTCAATAATTGGATTTAACTTTCCAGTTCCAAAGTACGGGAATACATCATTCTCCAGTGATTTAATCAGTTCGCCCTTGTACTAAAATATGTCAAAGAATTTTTAGATAAATTTAAAAAAAAAGCTTATATAAATCCGTTTAAACTAAAAAAAATTTAAATTAAAATTTACCTCAATTGATCGTGTTCTTAATGTGGTTGCAGTCAACTGCGCACGTTTTGCAAATAGTTTTAATAAAAATTTACTTTCAACATTATGACCACCTAAAAATCCATATAATATCCACTTTCCATCCATAGCAAGACTGTTTAAATTTTGAGTTATATATGAACCACCTACACAGTCCAAGATAACATTAACACCATTTCCTATGAAAAACAACGTGTGAGAAATTAGAAAAGAAAATAAAAATTTTTAAGATAATAAATGCATCGTTTTGTATTATGTATCCATATATATATTGTCATTTGTTTTTTCTCAATAATTTTTTACAGTTGCATATTTCATAAAATTACAATTTCATTTAATGACGTAATAAGTCATGATGTAATAAGTCATAGAAAGAATAAAATAATGACGTACTTTGTTGTAAGGAAACTCGCGACTAAAAGAAGTGTCTTGTTATCGTCATCAACTTCTGACATATTGATTTCTACTATATATTCTTTATAGTAGGTATATAGGAATAAATACAACGTAAATGTAAAATAATAACCTATAATAACGTTAATAACTTATCAAATACTTATTAATATAGTTTTCAACTTTACTTCTTAAAAATACATATAACTTTTATGTTTATTAAATATTAATAAAAATTTTTGTATTATTATTTTTTTAATACTTTGAAAACATGGTTATGTTGTAAAATTTGCAATAGTAACAGGGTAACAAAAGGGTAAATCAGACATTTTTCAAGTCTTTTATATAACTTTGCTCACTTTTTAAAAAATATTCACAACTTAAAAGACTCAGGTACTTGACTTTTTTGTAAATAAGAAAAAAATTGCCAAATAATCTCACATAGCAGAACTACATTAAAATCATTTTATTAAAATGTCTTAACTGACGTTGTCTGTGAACCCCAAACCCGATGAAAAGCAAAAAGATTCAACTTGTCTGAAAATATTTTGTAAAGAAATAGTGTCATGTTATAAGACCACCAAAAGTTAAAAGATGTTGACAATACTATTTTCCTTTTTTAACAATAATAATAAATAATCTTTTTTAACTTTTTTAACTGTTCATAGCTCTTACGCAGATTTATGCGTGATCATATCAACCTGATATTATCCCTGCTTGGAATTTTGAAAACTTTTTATCATAGATGTACTGGACTTAAGATGATATGGAGATAAGATGTTATGGAGATAAGTTGTACTTATGAAGTAATTAAAGCTCTTTTTGTCATAAATATTTTTTTTTCGGATTATTTACAACTAAAAAGTTGCTAAAAAGTTTGTAAAACTCAACATCAAGTGGTACATTATCTTATTACTAAAGAACATTTTCAAAATTGGTAATGTAAGGTAAAACTACTTTTTTAATTAGACGATAATAGTGATTGTCTTGATTAAATAGTAATGGTGTTTGTCTTGATTAGACGTTATGGTGTTTATCTTGATTAGACATTAATGGCGTTTGTGCTGATTTTACTGCATCAATGTAGTAAAAATCAAGATCTTGCTGATAAGTAATCTTTCATTTCATGTGAAACTTGCAGTTTACTTAAATGAAGAAAATTGTCTGGTATTAGATAACTTATCAAAATTAAAATAACTCATCAGAATAAATACAATAAAATAAATAAGATATATATGATATAAAAAATATCATATAGTTAATTCTTTTATCTAGAATAGATCATTTAACTTTTTTTATAGTATTGTTACAATTATTAAATATTTTGACTGTTGATGAAATAAACAAATGTATTTTCTAAAGTCGACTAAAATTGATTAATACATTTTTGAAACCGACTAAAAGTTGATTTAGTTAAAGTATGGAAATAAATAAATTTATTTTTTTGAAATAAATTGTATAAAAATAATAAAGTAATTTATATTTGCTTTCTATTTTTAATATCAAATCATTTAAATAATAATGGAGGAGAGAAAGGCTGCTCCGATATCTAGACAATATAGACCCTAATGATTTAGGTACCTTTATACTTAAATACTTGCTATATATCAAAAAAGTCATTTCAATCATATTTACAAAACGATTGTATAAATTAATGACATTTATATTTTGGAACTTCACAACTTAATTTTGGCCTTTTGGATTCCAAGCAAGCTTGGCCCAGGGCCCAGAGCCAGCTTGGAGCTCCTTGTATGAAAGTATTTATGAAAATCACAAGCATCAAGTAAACAAAAGAAAAAAAATTAATGAAATACATAATTGAAAGTTTAATTAGGTATAAATAATGCTAACATGCTATGAATTAGATAAAACTTTAAGAGAGTAAACAAAAAACTAGTTAAAGGGTCATCCAAAAGACGCTTTAGGGGGAAGGGGGTAGTGGTTCTATGACGATTGATATGGAACTTGTTAAAGTCTAAAATGGTTGAAAAATGCGCAATGTAATTTGCGGACAACCCCTAAACAAAAAAATAGTTGTAATAGTACATGATATTGTTTTTAAATGAACAAAAAAAAAATAAAGATTGTAAAGTTCAATCGAATGAAAAGATATAAGGATTTTAAGATTTTAACTCGACTAAATCAACTTTTAGTTGATTAGTAGAAAGTTCTTAGTCGATTAGATTGACTATTCGATTTTTTGGTCAAGTATTTTTGACTTTCGACTAGTTGACTTTTAGTCAACTTGAAGTCAATAACAATACTATTTTTTTATAATCTTATTAAAAAACCAATTGAATAACAGTATATATAACATTATTTTTAATTTTAAACATTTGGAAACATTTCGTAAACTATGTTAAAGTTTTATGTAAAAATGTTGCTGGACAGAAAATATTCTGCCATACAACATGTGTTCTGTTCATGTTTATAAACTTATACATTGATGTGTTATGTTCATTAACAACACTGCTAAGTTTAAGACAGAAAATTCATAACAAACATATGTATTTAATAGTATTATTTTCCAGATTTTATTTTTTTAAATCAAAAATGCTCATTATAAATTTACGGTTGAATAAATAAATTAAAAGTATAATTAAGAAAAATCTCAAAAATATTCAATGTAAATAAATTTCAGGCACGTGTGCCATGAGTAAAACTATTGCTCATTATAAATTTTTATATATATATAAGAATCTTAAACAAATTTCAACAATTATCATTATTCCTAAAAAAATCATGTCACCACAAAAACTAAACATAAAAAATTGATAATTTTTCATGATTTTGTGGTGGATTAAAAAAAACCTAAGATTAAAGTTTAATAAGCTTAAAGTAAAAAACCTTGTGTTCTTTCCAAGATTATTTCATCAAACTTCTGGTCTTTGTAATTTATCATGACATCACCACCAAGTTGCTTAATTTTTTCAAGCTTATTTTCTGAGCCTGCAGTTGCATAAACTGTTAGTTTAGCATGTTTAGCTAACTGAACTGCAGCTGTGCCAACTCCACTACCTGCTGCATGAACGAGAATAGTATCGCAAGCTTGACAGTTGGATATTGTATGAATGAGTTGATATGCAGTGATCCAAACTTCAGGAACTGCAGCAGCAGAAATTAAGTTCATTGTATTTGGTACTTTAAAAAAGTTTCTTTCATCAGAGCAAACATATTCTGCATATCCTCCACCTAAATAAAAAATAATATTTATTTCATAATAATTAATAATAATTCAAATAATAACTATAATAACCTAAAATCTACTTTTTTTTTATTAATTTAAATAAATATTATAAAAACTAAATTAATTAATTAAAACAATGCTTTATTAATACAGTTCTTAAATTTTTACCCTGCTAATTACTGTCCTAAATGTTATTACATTTATTTATATATATATATATATATATATATATACATATATATATATATATATACATATACATATATATATATATATATATATATATATATATATATATATATATATATATATATATATATATATATATATATATATATATATATATATATATATATATATATATATATATATATATATATATATATATATAAATACTGCCCAGCAAAAGTTTCCAGTCACTGTTTTTTGTACAAAAATTAAAAAAAAAAACAAGTTAAGTAGTTACAATTGACCAATATCATAACAAATAATTACAAACTAATCAACGTTTTTAAACCTTTGATAAAAATAAACAAGTGTATGCAATAAAACACAAACAACAGTTTATTTTTTTCTCATTGAAAAATCCACCCTTTGCTTTCCTTACTGCACAAACAAGTTTTGGCATATGTTTGATTAAATTATCTAAATAAATTGAAGAAATATTATTCCACACTTTTGTCTCAAAATTGTCCACAAATTGTTGATGTATGACAATCTTTTCTTATTTCAGTTGTTCCTACAGTAACTCCATTGGGTTGAGATCAGGGGATTGTGAGGGCCATGTCATAATTTTGAGTTCTCCACAAGCTTCTCTTTTTTGCAAATAGTTTGTACAGTATTTAGATGTGTGGGTTGGGTCATTATCCTGTTGCATGGTGAACTCGTGGCCAATTAGATCCTTTCCACAAAGCACGGCATGTCTATATAATACCTTATGATATCCGTTCTTATCGAGAATTCTATTTATTTTTACGAAATTACCAATCTGATTAGTAGCTAATCAGCCCCACACCATTACTGAACCTCCATGTCTGACAGTAGACTGTAATGAAATTTTTCAGTAGCTGTTTGTCGCACATAGATCTGTCGCTTTGTTCCAAAAACTAGAAATTTGGATTCGTTTGCCCACAATACATTTCACCAGTGTATATCTGTCAAATGTCTTTTTCTGACTTATTGTTTTTAAAAGAGGCTTTCTAACAGCTACTCTACCATTCAAGCCATTGAAGCCTCTTTTTTTCTACCCTTCTAACAGTTTTCAGTTAAGTAATCTTACAGTTCTGTTTTGAGCAGCATTGAAGACGATGAAGCATTGAAGTTCTTGGGTTGTTAATTGTTTATTTCATTTACATAAGAGTATGATTGACTTGTCTTCAGCCTTTGATGTTTTGCAGAAATGTCCATTTCTTTTCCTATCTTGATTTGTACCAGTACATTTAAACCGAAAAATAGTATCTATGATTCACTGTTGATTGCGGTATTTTCAACAATTTTTGAATATATGTAGTAGAATGATCATCATTTGCTAGAGCAACAATTGAAGAACATGTTTCTAGTAATAAATTACATTTCTTTGGTATTTTATATTATTTTCTAAAGTTTCAGCCTAAAAATAATCAAAATGCACTTTTATAAACTGGAAATTAAAAATTAATATCAAAGTTAATTCAGCTATATAAAATATTTACTAAATTAATTTATTAATATTAAACATGATGAGATGTGTGATGCATTGACAATAATTGAAGAACTCATTGTTAAACAATATATTATCACTGCCTACTTGTTAGGGTACATAAGATATTATTTTACATAAGATACTAGTTTTGAAAAAATGCTTTATAGTCAAGAAACAAGCACAATAAACTATACAGAGATTCTATTTACTAAAAAAACTGCTTAAACTGAATTGGTACAAACCTTTAATTCATTTTTTACATATTATATTGACCCTTACATATTAAGTATGTATGCAAAACCTTCACAAACCAAAATTACATGCAAAACATTCACATATCAAGTTTGCATAGAAAACCTTCACATATCATATATTTTATATATATATATATATATATATATATATATATATATATATATATATATATATATATATATATATATATATATATATATATATATATATATATATATATATATATATATATATATATATATTATCTGTTTGTCAATTTGTTGATCAACAGGGCTATCTGCATTGAAAATAGTGAGGATTGGTGTCTAGTCAGAGCACAACAGAGATTAGAAGCCATCTTAGAAAAAGCACATGATCAGCTTTAAAGCAATAGAAGCAAGGGAGGCTAGGGCAAAAGCAAGATCAACAACTGTAATTGTTGATGCAAACTCTAACTCTGATAATGACCTTATAGTTAGACTACTTTTTTCTGGTGCTGAACCATCAGTCAGAAAGAGTTTAAGGAAAGAGAAAATGGCCGGCAACAAAATACCAACAAACTGAGTATTCACCAAAAGTCAATGGTCTTAGAATGACAACAAGCAGAAAAAAGTTATTTCTGCAATGATGACATAGATAGAAAGTGCTATGTTGCCTTAAATACTTTTGGAAAGTATGTACAAAAGACAGTATAAGCCAATGTCTTCAAAGGCAGTTACTTCCAAGCCAAAATTCCAGGTTTAGAGAATGTAATGAAAGCAGAAGTTAATAAAACATTTAATGAAAACAAACCTCATCTTGATAAAGTATCATTTATGTCTGTTTAAAAAAATTAATGTTTTAAGCTTTTCTGTTTTTGCATTTATTGAAGTTTTTTGTTGTAGTTTTTTTTTTAAAAAATTTTTAAAATATATATATATAAAAAAATTCTTATTTTTTAATTCTTTTACTTTCTATTTATATCTGTTAAGTTTTTATGAGTTATTTTTATACACATTTTATGTTTTATTTTTATATATAGTGAGATAAGCGAGATGTGTGAGATGAATGAGATGAATGAGGTGAGTAAGATGTCTGAGATGAGTAAGATGTGTGAGATGAGTGATATGTGTAAGATTTGTGAGATGAGTGAGAGGTGTGAGATTTGTGAGATGAGTGAGATGTGTGAGATGAGTGAGATGTGTGAGATGAGTAAGATGTGTGATTCATTTTATTTTCATTTTTCTATTTATCATCTTATTTTGATATTGACAAATATTCTTATTATCATTAGTTTAACTGATCATAAAATTATCATTAGTTTTAAGCTCTTTTGATATAAATATAATTTTATATCAGTCACACTTTTTTATATCAAAGTTACATTGCATTATATCTTATTGTTGTTGCCTACACCAGTCCTCATCTCATTTTAAAACAGTTATTTTCAACACAAATACTCAATATAAGCAAATGATTGACATTAATCATAATTTTAATTATCATAAAATAGAAAAGAAAATCAGTTTCAAACATGTTTTTACACTTTAAAGAAGACTATTTATTATTAAGGTTGTTTTTAATTATTTATATAAAAATGTGTTTTAAAATTTAAATCAATGTCAAAAAACTGATTTTTGCATTTTATAATAATATGCTACAATCAGTTTTAAATTTTTAATAAAATGGAAGAGCCAAAATCTAAATAATATTTAGATTTAGACTCTTCCGTTTTAGTAAAAATTTATTATAATTATCTAATAGACAATCAGCAAAAGCAACAAAATACTCATTCGCCCTTGTTACAGCAGGGTGCAGTCAAGATAGTGTTAAAATAAAATTATCTAAAATACTTAAGCTGACCTTTAAATCATACTGATTGTTTAAAGTCACAATCTTTAAAGATTCAAGTCACATGACTTTAAACAATCAGCATGTTAAACATGTTATCAAAATATAGTAATAAAGTAAAAATCTGCAAAAAAGATTTAACTCTACCACCCAACCCAATAAAAAACATATGCCCAATAAAAAACATGCAAGACTTGGCATTAAAATCAGATGTGTGTCAGATAGCTCTAATTGTTATCTGTGCCAACTGGATGTATATAATATAGTGTAGAAACAAGCCAGGCGAAAGTCTGCAAGAACTTTCACCTATGAATTTGTTATACAACTTATGACCAAACCCAACATTAAAAACTGTTAACACTTGGACTTTGACAATATTTCATCTCTGTTGAATTAAAAGAAAATGCCACAGCTACTGAAACAGAGTGAATATACAAGAGCTTCCTGAAATCTGTGTAAATAAGACACTTGAAAACAAAGAAACATCAGCTGCCAGAAATATCAACCTTGTCTATCAAGACAGCAGCAGAAAGCCCATTTGGCATTCAAATTCAGCCAAGGCTGCCATCATTGATACTATCAATAGTAAAAACCAAGCCATATAACACCCTGTCATTCAAATATACAACTTTGGGTAGAATGGATTTAGAAAACAAAAAGCTCTGCATGTATCTTGTGAATAAGAAACCACCCTAAAGTGGACTAGTAACTAGTAAGGTGTTTTGGATAAGAGGACTCTTAAGTGGACCAACAAAGTGTTTTTTTCTCTTCTTGTTAGACTGATTTGAATACCTCAGACTTTGCGAAATTGTCCTATGTCATTAAAAGTTTGGTCCAATTTTTTAATGATAATTTGGTGTTTAAAGTTTAATGAAAAAAAGGTTTGCGCTTTTTTAATAACATAATTCTTTTAAATTATTAGTATGCTTATGTTATTGTAATTTTCAAACTCATTCATCGAAAAATGTAGACTTATCTAAAATTTATTTCACTAAGTAATTTTCATTAAAAAAAAAAAATCTATAAGAAATTTAAAAATATAAAAAATTTTTTTTAATAATTTTAAAAAACATCCAAGATTCAATTACCTGAAAGAATACCTGCCACACGATCTCCGACCCTAAAATATGATAGTGCTTAAAATACTTTTTAAATCAATTGTTTCTTGAGACAATCATCAAAAACAAAAAATGTTTTATACTATATTTTTAGTATTCATTTGAAACTAAATTCAAATTAATTTAAAATGTCATACTTTATCAAAAAAAAATTTCTTTATTCTTAGAAGAAAATTTGTATGAACATTTCCATCTTTAGTAAAATTAATAAAGTGTGTGTTTTTATATATTTGATATATTTTTAGTAAAAGTAATCAAATATATGTTTGTATATATTTAATATATTTTTAAGTTATATAGGTAAAATACATTTTAATTTTAATTGACAGTTTAATTTTATATTCATTATTAAATTTGTGAACTTAAAAAATATTTAACTTTTAAACATTAGTAAACTTAAAAAATATTTAACTTTTGCTGAAAAAGCTTGAAATTTACATTTAATAATAAATTTTCAATAACAAAAGAAACATATCATTTAGACATTTTATCACTGTAATGATAAAACTTTGAAAACTTTAATTCTAATTCTAAAATTCAAAGATTTTAATTTTATTAAAACTAAATAAAATATAATAGTTAACTTAATTTAATTTAGGTGAATATAAACAAATTGTGCATAAAAGTAATATATATATGTAATAAATAAACATTCAAACACCAATAAACTGAGCATGTGAACTTTTCTTTCTGGAGTATATATGATCTAAATTCTCAAGATAAACAATACTACATAAAGATTTAAAAAATAAATATAGTTTTGAAAATGTAGCTTAAAAAAATGATTATGCTTTTTTTCTTTATTTTAAAACAAAAGTTCACCAACTTGTCATATTTTATAACAACATGGGATTACAAAAATGTATTGAACACAAATGAACAATAATAATAACTTTTAAAAAGTTATGTTCACAAATTGATCACATAAAAAACTAAAAAACAATCAGGATGTGATCTCACATCATGTGATCTCACATTATGTGATCTCACATCATGTGATCTCACATCATGTGATCTCACATCATGTGATCTCACATCATGTGATCTCACATCATGTGATCTCACATCATGTGATCTCACATCATGTGATCTCACATCATATGATCTCACATCATGTGATCTCACATCATGTGATCTCACATCAAGTGATCTCACATCATATGATCTCACATCATGTGATCTCACATCATGTGATCTCACATCAAGTGATCTCACATCATGTGATCTCACATCATGTGATCTCACATCATGTGATCTCACATCAAGTGATCTCACATCATGTGATCTCATATTTTGATCATTTTGATCATAATTTTTTTTTTTTGAAATTAACTTTAACTTTTAAAACTTATAGGGTTGCAAATTTTATACTAACATCTCATTGGTTAACATCTTATTAGTCATCTCATTCGCTATCTCATCGAATAACATCTCATTGGTTATCGGTTCTGTAATATTTTATTGGCCAGTTGGCAAAATTACCAAAAAAAATTGCTAATAAAAAGAAAAAAACCAATAAAAATTATTCAAAACCTTTTGTTTGTATCTCATGTGTTACCTTCCTGTTTATCATTAAGTGAAATCACTTTTATGAGGCTTTTAAAACAGAAGAAAAACATAAGAATAATTAATATTAATTTTCTGTAAAAAGATAATTCAAAGATATACATGTTTAAAGTGATAAAATTTCAAGTTAGTTGTGAAATATGTAAAGATGGTTGCAGATCAATATGAATACAGTAAAAAATTTACACATAACATTGCCTAAATATTATCTAGATGTTGACAAACTCTAACTTGACTTTGTCATTTAAAAATAAATTCCATCTGATCCGTCTGATGTTTTTGACATGTCAGCCATTAGCCAACTGCACAAGATTTGCCAAATGATACCCTTAAAAATAGAATTCTTTAAAATAGAATAACTATTTATACGCGTCTTTTTACCTGAAATGTAGAATAACTTTATTCACGCAAACAAATTTTGGTAGAATTCGTTTTCATGATGCACCCATAAATATCAAGAATGAGAAAAATTTAAAACTTTTTAATTTAAAAAATTTAAAAAAAGAAAAATTTAAAACAAGTTTCAAGACTGCTTATGAAAAGACAGGCTTATTAAAGCTATTAGGTTATAAGATACATATTTTAATTTTAAAATTTATTTGCAATGTTCAAGTGTTGCAATAATTATATTTTGTGATTTTTAATTTAGTCACTTTTAGGTGGTTGTAATTTTCAAGTCACATTTAGGTAACTTTTAATTAGGTCACATTTTTAAAGTTTATTTTTGTTTCTTATAACCACTATCATCAATGTGTTATTCAATATTGGTTGCCGTAAAAATAACTTAAAAAGTTTATAACTGATTAAAGAAACTTTTTGTGCTTAATTTAAAACTTTTTGATTGATTTTGCGTTTCTAATAAATTTTTATCAAATATTGTTGAAAAATTCCAAGTTTTTTAAATATAAATTCAAAATATAATTATAGAAAATTTATTTTTTTTGTCATTATTATTTATTATTTTTAATACTGCTATTTTTATTATTACTATTATTACTATTATTATTATTGCTATTTTAAATACCATTATTTTTGCTGTTACGTTTGCTCTATTAATGAAATGGTTATTATTGTTATTATTGTTATTATCTTTTAAACTAATATTATTAATATGATTATTTGGTGCCACTCTTTTGATTAGGTATCTGCATGAGTGACTCCTTCTTTTTCAATCAATTATTTATATTTATTCTTAATAATGATAAAGATTTTTCCGCAAATTTTTCAACTCGCCAAAAGTTGTTATACTTTTGTTCAATTGAAATACATTGATTTTTCAATTGATTAATGTAGACTCTATTTTCAAATAGATTAATGTAGACTCTGGAAAGTAGGCCGTCCTTTCTTTAATTCTGGCGTTTCCAGATAACTTCTTTAAATTCAAAATTAAGTTCATGTTCTAACCAGGAAACTGAATTTCTATGAAATTTATAATTAGAGTATTGAACATCCTTCATTTTTTATTTGTAGGTGGTTTGCGATGTTAATAACTTTTTTTCTAATTTTTTTTCTTGAGCACCTTTAATTTTCATAACATTTATCTTCTACAAAAATTTTAAACATTCCAACATTTTAATAACATCACCAGTCACAAAAGAAATAAAATCTTAATTCTTTAACTTCATTCATAACGATTTGTACTTTATTATTTATTTACACAATTTTAAATCGACAAAAAGATTTTTTGTAAATTTTTTCAACTTGCAGAAGCTTTTGAGGTTATATTAATTTAAAGCAAGTATTTTGAGGTTATACTAATAGTAGGTCTTAAAGTTACCACAAATATATCTTTTTATGACAATATGCAATTTGATTGAAAATGGCTGTCATGTTTTATGTAAAAAAAAAAAATCAATTTAAGTAGAAATATTTTTTAATTGAAAATAGTTGTTCTTGGGCGGGTCCGGGCGGCATCAAAACCTAAATTGGAATAAAATATTCAGATTTTTACAGCAACATACAGAATTTAATTAAAGTCACATTCAAGTATGCTATTATTTACTAGTCTAAAAAATTATCATTCTCTGCATTTTTAGGACATTAAATGTAATTTTATAAAATATTTTACATTAAACTCTGAAAGCGTTTTTAATAATAACGTTTTATTATTTTTTATTATTTTATTTAATTATTATTTTTTTTAATATTCTTCCGATTGATGTAAAATATCAATCTGTGAACATATATATAATATATGGAAGTTCACAGGTGTGGTTTAAGAAATGAAATAAATGTTCAAAATTATTGCTTTTTCACTAAATAATTGTTCTTTAAAAAATGGTAAATTTGAACATCATTATTTCAAACCACTCTAATTACATACATTTTCAGGGCTGAATGTGTGTCTCTACAGAAAGAATTAGATTGTGCTCTTTTCTGGTTTGCTTGTTGTAGGCATGTGGGTGAAAAACCTCTGAATGATTGCTGGGAAGTTTGAAAGTGGAGTCATCAGCTAGTCTAAATATTTTGATCTTCCAAAGGTGAGTCCAATAGGCTATTCTATTTGCTTTACAAATAATAATGAGCTACTTTTTACAATTGGGATGTAATGAAATACTTTTAGTTTTAACTTACATTAAATTTATTTAATATATCTTTTTCACTTTTTTCATTTCACTAGGTTCAGAAAACATTTTCTTGGACTGTCATCAGATGGACAAGCAAAATATTATTACCCTCACAAACCTCGGAATTAGGAAAAATGAAGTCGGCAATAATTTGCCGACCTCAATCTTTTTGAGTTTGGTAAAACTATTTGATACAACGGTCTAACCATAAAACATAGAAACGAGGTCAGCAATTTTTTGCTGACCTCAAACACTTTCAGGTCGGCAGTTAGGTTGACATTGTTGAATGCTGACCCTAATTCCGAGGTTGCCCTTATATAGTACCTATAGAAGAAGCAAGGGATAGCTAAATTTTCTCATGAATCTCTAAAACAATCTTTCAAACAGGGTGAATAAAAAGTGCTGGTTGAGCTTCTTCTGCTCATAATAACTAAGGGATCTAAACTAAAGAACTTCAAGATGTGCTACCATGTGCCCTTTACAAATCAAACTGGAAAAATAAACTTAAAAAATACTCTGAAAATTGTGCTTTTGTCTAGATATATCAAAGAACAATTTCCAAAAGCTGAAATTTTACAAGCAACTAAATAAGAAAATTGGAACAACATGTCTATGCAGTTTCAGTTTATGTAGAGTGATGGCTTGTTTATCCTGTACCAGCTAGCGCACCAGTGAATGACTTGATTTTAGTGGAAAACTTGGCAAAATTTGTTTTGAATTCTTCAAAACATGAAAATGATTTTGAGCAAATTTTAGGTGGTAAGTGAGACAGCAGAGTGTAGTGTGAAGGTGTGTCATGCAGGGTTGAGGTCAAATACATTTGATCAAATACAAATACGTTAATTTTAGGTTTCTATATACAAATTCAAATACAAATATATGCATCAACATTTTCCAAATACATATACAAATTTTTCTACTTTAGGCTAAGAAAAAATATAAAGATTTTTTTAAGACAAAACTGATAAAATGGTCTGATAAATAGAATAAAGAAAACAACGAATATCTCTTAAAAACAAATTTAATTTATTTTAGTGTTAAATTTGAAGAAAAATAACAAATGTTGTGGTATTTCCTAAAAACACTGGTTAACCTAGTTTATGAAATTGCAAATACATTACAATCAAATACAAATACAAGTTTTTATGAAGTTTTTAATTAAATATAATATAAATACAAATACGACAAATTAGCCTATTTTTGCCAAATACAAATACAAATACGTACTTGAGCCTAACCCTGCTTTTATGACATTCTAGGTGTGATTAGGGATGAGAAACACTTTCAAGATGTTCTCAGAGTAGTAGAATCTGATAGACAACGAATTCCTAATCAGCAAAAGCCATTCCCTGCATAAAAAGAGAAAACATAATTTTTAGTCCTGGAAAACAAGTAATTTCATTTGGCACTATATGTAATCTATTTATTAAAATCTTTTTTCTAAGCCCCATTGTATTAGAATGTAACGAAGGGAAAAATAATGATTTTTGGGCTAAATTCCATATTTCAAATTTGCTCATTCAATTGTGGATGAGCAAATAAATGGATGAATTTTCAAAAAAACTTTGTATATGTCATTTTTATGACTAAATACAAAACCAAAATTATGAACAGCGTAATAAACTTAAGGCCTTATATACATATAAAATATTGGTGCTAGTAAGTGACCGGGGCCCTGGCCTCAGCTAAAAATGAGACTTTTTGCAAACTTGGCCCCGGCCTAAGCAAAATTATAAGATTTAGCGAGATAGCCTAGGCTAGAAAAAAATTTAGTTGATAGCCTAGGCTAGAAAAAAACTTATAAAACTTTTTTTATCATAATTTTATACTTATATTTACTATTTATTATATACTGGCATATATTTATTTATTTTTAAACTCTAATTTAATTCCAACAAGATTGCAAGCAACTACTATTAAGTTATGAGTTACTTCAAAATAGAGGATAGGTTAAAATACTAGAAAATGGTTAACTGAAGACTTTAAACATTGTAGGATGTTATAAAAAGAAAAACATGAAGATGGGGAAGAGTTGTAAAGCTTATTTGATGTGCAAGGAAAAAAACTGGATTATTAAAAGTTTTTATAGCATGAAGGGACAGACAGTAAAAAGGTGCAACTTGTTGAATAAGAAGCCAAGTAAGAATGTTTTTTGGTTTATCATATTAGAGATGATAGCTCGTTTGAGCATTGATCATTATAGTATTTGTAGAAAAAAGAAAGGAATGCAGC